GAAAAATCACAAGCGCAACCCAACAATGGTCATAAGGATAAGATGAAAGTCACCAATGACAGTCAGTTCAAGAAAATCGCCAAGGCAAGTAAGGGGGGGAGGTATGAATTCTACACTCCCCTGAATACGCCCCGAGTTCATATCCTAGAGGAGGCCAGTAATAGCAACCTGCTCACCCTGCCGCCACCAGGTCACACTCCAAACAGCGCAGACAAGTCCAAGCACTGCCGGTACCACAGAAACCACGGTCACACCACTGAAGAGTGACGTACACTCCTAGACTGTATCGAAGAACTCATCCAAGCAGGCCACCTCGGCCAATACGTCCAACAACAGCAAGGTCACAGAGGAGGCTATGCAGACGAGGCAGATTGGGAGTCTTCCTGGGTAGTGCACAAAAATCAATAGGTAGTTGAACCCGGAGTTGCGGCAACAGCTCAAAGCTGAGATCCTCAAGAACGCCGACCTTTACGCATGGTCCAGTGCCGACATGTCAGGCATAGACGCCGACTTCATCTGTCACAGGTTAGCAATTCACAAGGAGACGAAACCAGTGGCCTAGAGGAAGAGGAAAGTCGGTGGTGAGAGGCGGGAGGCCATCATCACCGAGACACAAAAAGTTGCTGAACGCCGGCTTCATCCGTGAGGTCAGATACACCACATGGCTGACAAACGTGGTGTTGGTAAAAAAGAACCCAGGAAAGTGGCGCATGTGCGTCGACTATACCGACTTGAACAAGGCATGCCCCAAGGACTCATACCCCTTGCCAAGCATTGACAGGCTGGTCGACGGAGCGTCCGGGCACGCCCTCCTCAGTTTTCTCAACGCTTACTCCGAGTACAACCAAATAATGATGTACCCACTAGACGAGGTGCATACATCATTCATCACCGATCACGCCAATTATTACTACCGAGTGATGCCCTTCGGTTTCAAGAACGCAGGGGCCACTTTCCAACGACTGATGGACAAGGTTTTCCACCAGCAGATCGGGCGAAACATGGAAGTCTATGTTGACGACATGGTGGTTAAGACCACCTCGGCTGCGGACCATGTTGTCGACCTCGCCGAGGTGTTCGGCCAGATCAGGAGATCGAGGCCAACCCGGAAAAATGTAAAGCCATCATTCAGATGTAGAGCCCCCAGGCCGTGAAAGATGTCCAGCGTCTGGTAGGAAGGTTGGTCTCCCTTTCCCGTTTTATCCCCAGGTTGGCGGACAGGGCAGGGCCCATCTTCACACTAGTAGAAAAAAGACTTTTAAAATTGATTATTTTTTTACTTTTAAAATCGGTTCTTTAACCGATCTTGAAAGAGTCAATTTTAAAAGTTAATTTTTAAAATCGGTTGTTTTATAACCGATCTTAAAAGTCCGGCTGTGAAAAAAAATTAAACTGGAACGGGCCGTTCCAAAACCGGAACGGGCCGTTCCAAAACCGGAACGGGTCGTTCCAGTCTGATCAAAATGCCTAAAAGGTCACTTTTAGAACGACCCATACTCCTTGGAGAACGGCCCGTTCTCCTTGGAGAATGGCCTGTACTCCTTGGAGAATGGCCCGTACTCCTTTGAGAACGGCCCGTTCTCCTTGGAGAACGGCCCGTACTCCTTGGAGAACGCCCCGTTCTCCTTGCAGAATGGGTCTTTCCAAGTTCAAACCCAAACTGAGACGAGAAAATCATGAAAAAATGAAAAGAGACACAAGAAGAACATGAGAAGACGAAAATGAAAACGAAAACGACAACAAAATTTACCTTATTGGAGACTTTAGAAAATGAGAGCTTCAGGGAAAGATTGAAGAGAATGAGAATGGATGGGAATATAAAAGATTTCTGGCGATATTTTTAAAATCGGTTATTGCAGAACCGATTTTGTACACTACATACAAAATTGGTTTTGAAATAACTGATTTTAAAAGTAATACTTTTAAAATCGGTTATAAGAGATCCGATCTTAAAAGTGACACTTTTAAGATCGGTTACAAAATAACTGATCTTAAAAGTTATTGAGCGGTGTAACACTTAGTAAAAGTTACACTAGTGTCGTTTGAACCCTTCTTATATATATATATATATATATA